ACCGGCGCGACCCTCCAGTCATGGAACGGCGCAGAAGGCATCAACTCAGTTGCATTTTCGGCTGATGGCAAACAAATCGTATCTGGTGCCCAGGACGACACTGTCCGCGTGTGGGATGCCCAGACAGGGAAACCTGTGGGTGAGCCATTCATCGGCCACACTGGCTGGGTCAATTCGGTTGCGTTCTCGCCAGATGGGACGCAAGTTGTATCAGGATCAGCCGACAATACCATCCGTATCTGGGACACCACCGCGACTTGGGATGGCCGGGCTATCGACGTCGATTCTGAGTCAAGCAGTCATATCACAGTGAGCACAACCATCACATATTCCAGTCTCGCTGATAACCTTTGTCATCAGGGTTCATCGTCTGCTGTGCCCCCCTTTTGGAAAATTCAGGACGGCTGGGTATATTCCCACTCATCACAATTGCTTTTTTGGCTCCCCAGTCAATATAGATCTGGATTTTTGCTGCCTCACACGAAATTAATCATCGGCGGGCAAACTATTGGTCTCTCTTATTCACGCTTCATGCACGGTCTGGAGTGGACAAAGTGTTATGGGCCAACTGCGGATGCAGGGAATTTCTAGTGATTACATACGGAGAAACTTTGGAGTGGTATCGCGCTCGTAGGCATACATTACAATCGTTGAAGCGATTATTTCGTGCATCTATGCTCAATTTTGTATCGTCGTTTTTGTTTTCTGGGTTGGATCTCCGATGTGAATTGCCTACACGAATATTTCTAAGTTCTATTTCTACACGTTCTTCTGCGATTGTGAATCATATGGACTATTTTGGGATAATTCTATTCAGAAACCCGGTTTCTCAGATTTCTATGCAGAAACCGGGTTTTGAGGAGCCCCCGATGATGTCGGGGGAGATGCCGGCCGTTGCCGAGCGGAATGCCGACTTCCAGCTGAGCGCTGAGCGGGCGAGGACCAAATTTATTTGTTTATTATGAGAAGCACAGTAAGCAATGAGACTTCAACTTGAGACAGAGAGCCCACAAGCAGGGTAAGCTTAATAGAGCGACATTCCCGGGGGGCTGTCGCTCCATGGAGAACGAGACGACGCAGCGGCGACAGCGCGCAAGCAAGGGACAGCGAGAACGCGCGCGGCCCGGAGGAGGCCCGGTGGAAAGCGGCAAATACCACAGTAGCAAGTCAGGACACCCCCGATTCCTCCGGGTTAAGAGTGACCTGCAACATGAGTGGGCGTGCATGACAAGCAGCTCCAACCCTGAGGCGCCCGCGGCGGGATCAACTCTGGTGTCGAGAGGGAAATGCAACCATTTGAAGGCACTACTGACCATGGAAGAGCAGAGGTGTAGAGGGGCCTATTGAAAGGCCCACTTGCATGGTGAGGTCATGCAGTTATGGGACCCATAGAATTATTTGAACTGCCCTGAGATGAGGTCGAATATCGGAGACCTGCCTTTGAAACTCCGCTTACGGCTTGATTGCCGTGCCAGATTGATGGCTGGTTTTCTCATTAACATTGGGCGGGAATTTTTGCGGAATTACCAGAAAAGGAAGGATTTCCGCCTGCAACCGGGTTTCTCGGTAGAATTTTCCACCATTTTGTGGTCAACATCTTTCTTGCACATCTTCTTGATCAGATTAATCGTCCGGAGTAAATTCAGGGCGCTTATGTTGATGCAAAACCAGTTGAACCTTAGCAGTACGTTTGGATGTACCCGGAGCGGTATAAGGACACAGTGGAGCAGTGCTGCATTAACGGTGTCTTTGATAACCGGGTCCTATTGTGTTCGACACGGTGGGGAACTCGAAAATCGGTGCTTCGATATATTTACTCTGGTCTACATGGAGTAAGCTAATTGTTCCCAAGAATAAGCCATTCACGGGTGGCTACGCCGACGAATTCAGAATCCCACTGCGGAGAGGGAAACTACTTCAAGATAGTACCCCGGGGAAACCAAAAAATAGTGCCCAGAAGCACTGCAAAATAGTATCTATGTACCGCTATATTAGTACCTCAAAGTACTAATTCGCAGTGCTTGTGATCGTTTTTTCACTCTTTTGCAGTTACCTCAAGGTACTAATCTGCAGTGCTTCAAGGCACTATTTTGCAGCACTTGAAGGTACTTTTCGTCTGGTACCGGTTCAGGTTTGGTTCAAATCAGGTATATTCGTCTAGATTACGGTACAGGCATAGTAGACTAGGGATTGTTTTGCTTCCCATTGCCACGATCCTATTGCGAAGCGGAGATCTGGATGGCTCGGTTAGCTGCGGTGTGTTTCATGAAAGAAGATCACTCACCGATAATTTCGAATTCGTCTTTACGTCTCGGTGAGACGCTGGAATAAACAATGAAAATTTTCAACTCAATGCAGCTAAGAGGCCAATCGCTCACCCAAGGTGCAGATGCAAGTTGCGACGAGTTGAAGTTAAACTCCCGAACAAAAAATGAGCGCCAGATTTCGGTGACGAACGGATATCACACCTAGAATGATCAAGCACGCGATGGAACTATAACCAACAAGGGTGAAGGGACGTACACAATAACATGAGGCCTGAGAGTTTCGACCGCGGCGTGCGAAAGTCGTGATTGCCACTGCAGAGTGCAATCACCGATGATTTCCATCGTAGTCCGCGCCCTCTCCAAACGACGATACCCGCCAGCCAAAATTAAAGTAAGCGCGAGTTACACGCCGCGTCAATAAGAGCAATCTTCCCAGGCCAAATAAGCACACGGACATACGAAGATGAAAAAGTATACCCAGCTCTACGGAGATATTGGTTGTGAATCTGAACGTGCTCGAATCAGAAGGAGGCGAAGAAATAAGCGGATTTGTTCTAGAGGATCAGCATATGAACGAAGGATGCGACGAGAGGATCCGAGGAAGAAAGAGAAGGACGCGGCGACGCAACCAAATGACAGTACAGGGAATATGAGAAGGAATTATCTTGCTTGACGCCGTACAGTCCCGACAAGACAACAGTACTTATCAGGGGTAAATGAACAAACCCTTTCACCGCACCAAGGGGAATTTTCCTGGGGACAATGATTAGAGTTCTGTGGGAACTATAAACAGTTCTCACAAGTAAAGAGGGGATGGAATTGGGTTGTGTCACGTTGTAGATTTTCGGGAGCTGCAGGAATAATGTACAGGTCAACATCTGCGAACAAATGAAAGGGGTTTCAGAAGGGCGCCCAAGGAAATCAATAGGAAAAATCCAACCCACTGGTCAAGAAGCCACCAACGTACATGATCCGATATTCAAGTGAAGTTACAACGAAAAGGGGACCGCAGCGAGGATGGATTGGTCAAAAGTCACCATGACGTTTCAAACAAGAGTCACCTCACTCACACAAAGAATGCTATCCGTACGCGAGGTGGGCCACGGAAAGGACAAAGGTGGGGACAAAGACGAAGAAGTGAGAACAAAAAGGAGGATAAAGGTAGGAAACTCGCCGTTAACTGCCTCGCTAGCGGGACACGGTCTGCCTCAAATTGATTTCCGCACCGTCGGGTAGCTCGCGCAAGGGTTTGTGCAGGTGTTCCTGCATCGACTCGTCCTTTTCGCGTGTTAGCGGTGAGTACATCGTTCCCGCGCCGGACCAAAAGCTTGGAGACGTACCAATTATAGTAAACAACTTCCAGAGCTACAGCCTCTTGACAAGCTGACGGGTAGCAGCACCTATCAGAGCGAGTGGGCGCACCGAGCAGCTCCCTCATGCCGAGCGAGGACCGCGGGTGTGGGCGGTGCGCGACCTGCGGAAGCAACGTTGGCGTGGTTCGAGGCAGTGGAGAGCGGGATTTGTGGCGCCAGAATGGATTACGAGGGGAGGGGAAGGAGAATGAAAGTAAAAAAACGCACCAAGTCGACCACTTGCCTTCGTCTGAGTGCGCAAGAAGGAACCGTTGCGGCAGCTGTAAGACGACTTACCCTACACCCTACACGGCTGATTAGACCCCTGTACTTGCCTAGTCTCTCGACAAACTGTGTCTCGTTCTAGTACTCATCCTTGATACACACTTTACTCCTAACCTGCCTCGGGATTCTCCTAAGGACAAAAAGCTTGCTGAACATACCCTCGAAATCCTTCCATCGTGCCTACCAGAAAGGAAATAAAAGATGAACGATTCGGACATCAGAAGTCGAACCTGGGCTGCACCTTATACCTTATCGTGCATTCCATAACCCCGCACAAAATTCAAAAAGCACCGCCGCAGTCAACGCATTCGGGTGCCAAGACCAGCCGGTTAAATCACTTCTGTCAACATGAAATATCCAGAAAACCACACGTTTTTCTCTTTCGATTCCACTGGCGGTCCACTGGTGGTTGCGGCTAATTCAGCGTCTTTCGCTTGTCGGTATATCCGAACGATTCGGGGCTAAGCGCTGAGCCGTAGCTGTTCGGGGAGCGCGGTTCGAAATAATTAAATGAGGAGCACTTACTGGGGCGTCAGGAAAGGCTCGGTAGCGTTTGGAAAGCATCTGCTTTCGATTGAATCAGAATAATCAACTTGACGTAGATTTCGCCTGTTCGATTTACGGCTGAGCCTTAATGCGTTGGTTTAATTCTTTTTCGATGCTCGTCCAGTTGAACGATAAAATTGTCCTCTGTAATATGTTTGCCGTCAACCGGTTCGAGGGGTGAAGTAGGATTGACGTACCAGAAGGAGGTAAGACTCGGTAGCGTTTGGTTCCCATCTGCATTCAATAACCGAAATCGATTTGAGGCAGAGTCCATCCCGTTCGATCAGGGGCTCAGCCATGCAGTGCATTCCCGTCTTCAACGTTCTGCCTGTTTGTGGAAATTGGGTTGAGAGAGGACGGAGTACAGGGAAAGGAGAGGCTCGGTGGCGTGTGGTGCGCATCTGCAGTAGATTAACAGCGACCGATGCCCTGGGAGCAGATCACGCCTGTTCGAATCAGGCCCGAGCCATGGCACGGGATCGAAAACCGTTTTCTCAGTACCATGAATTTGAAATCGGCAGTGACACCGACGTACAGGAGGGCAAGGAAAGGCTCGGTAGCGTTTGGTACGCATCTGCTTTTACTTCAAGGAGAACTGCGTTATAGCAGAGTCCATCCCGTTCGATTCGGGGCTGAGCCATGAATGATTCCGACAGAAATTGGTTTTTCCCCGCCGGCGCAGAGCCCTGGGCGCCTTTCAGCCATCAAGATTGGGAAAGGAGAATGGCAAACAGTGAGTCGGAGGTGTCGTTTTTAGTCTAAGTGTGTTGTATTAGTTAAGACTGGAGAGAATCGAGTTACGAGGAAGAGCGACGTACCAGAGAGCAAGGAAGGGCTCGGTAGCGTTCGGAACGCCCCCGCACTCATTTACTCGGTACGAATAGGTGCACGCAGACCTCGCCTGGGGAGTCAGGCCCGAGCCGTAGGCCAGATATCATTTCCCTTTTTTCAGGCTCATGATTGGGAGATTGTGAAGTGAGATGAGCGAGCGAGAGGGCAGGGCGCGGGTCGGTGGGTTTTGGAACCTGCATCCGATGAGGAATTCGCCAACAGCCTGGGCTTTCGCCCGAGCCAAGTCCGAGCCGTGATTTGTTTTTCCCATCGGCACGAATTGAATTCTGAGCGCAACCTGAGCCATGAATTGAATCCGAATCCTGAGCACTGAGATCTGAGACCCTGCCGTCCGAGCCGGGGCGGAGAGTTTATCGCGCCTGCACGCAGCACAGAGATGATCAATGAGGCAAAGATTGAACTGGGAAGGCTGAATCAGCCTTTAGGTGATTAGGTCGGAGCACGAGGAACGCACGAGGCGGTGCGGTAATTTCCCCGCATTCATGGAGAAACTGTAGAACACTCTAGTCTCTCGTAGACAGACGCAACACGAAGCTCGTACCTCATAAGGGAAGTCTGGCGTTCGTGGCACGTCGAGGAAGGAAGGCAAAGTGGTGATAAGCGGCGGACCTCGGGCCTAGACCCTGTTTGTCAGCAATTAGATTTGACCCTGATACGCTTCCGCCAGAGGTGATACATACAAGCGATGCGCCTACTAGGCCCTCTTTGTCAGAAATTAGCTTGACTCCTTGTTACGGTTCGACCCCGACTCGGAGTCTCGGACACGCCGGGCTAGCTGGCTCTCGACATAGTACTAGTGCAACACTGCAGGCCTCTCGCTGCAAGCCGCTCTCGACACGATTACGGCGCCACCGTGCGCGGGGGGCCAGGTGCATCGTTCCCGACGCCGCGCGCGTGGATGTCCCAGAGGCTGGTGTAGCAAGCGCCCAAGCGCCCCAACGAAGACGCTGAAGCCCTTCGTCGTCGTCGGCGGATGGAGATGACGAAGTGACGGTCGTCGCTTGGGTCGTCGCAATGAAGACTGTGTGCTGTCCTGTCGCCCTTTTCGGCATACGCAGCGTCGACGGGACGAACATCATGTCGTCTGACGTCACTTCGCCGCGGTTTACCGTGATCCCCGACGGCGTGCGCCTCGGCAAGATCAACATCTTTGGCGATCAGAGGCCTCTCGCCTCAGGCTCCGGCGTCCTCGAGGTCCGATGCGCTAGTCGCCGCGGGATCGTTTGCGCAAAGGATGAGACCGGGATGCGGGAGCAGTTCGCTGGCCCTGGCACTTCTTGCCCAGCACTGTCAACATGCCGCCGCGTTGGCGCGGAAAATCCCCGTGTCGCCGGGCGGCATCTTTAGGTGCTCGTGCGCGGCGCGCTCTTATTTCCGCCGCGCGACCTGCGCAAGTGCCAGGAGGAGTCGTCGCCGGGCGGTGTTCTTTGTCGGAAGGCCCCGTCTTATAAGTCAGTCCTCGCCATTCGAATTCAATTGACAAAAATGAAACTTGAATCAACAAGTTCTAGATGTACCCCGAACGACGGACACAAGTGATGCCGCCCGCTTCTGCGCCTGCTGGAGGAGCAGCCGATTTCGCTTGCGCTCGGGATTCCCTGGGGATGATGCATCAAGGATCTTAGATGGTTCTGTTGCGTACGGGATGGGTCGAAACCTGCCCCGGCGGCGACGGCGTTAATTCCGCGCTCCACCAGGCTCCACCTTCATCAAGTTGACGAGCCGGTTATAGCTCTCCGGGGGGAGCCTCTCCCTGACGAAAGCCTTGATCCCATCTCTAGCTCATAGGGTGACATTTTGGGTAGCTCGGCTCGAGGCAGCTCCCTGCCTCAAGGTCAACACATATCATCTGCAGACCTGTGAACTGAATCGGATTTACGGCTGAATAAATGTCCTCCTCGTCGTCACTCGACAGACTATTTGCCTTCACTGCATCTATATCCACTACTTCCGAGCTGATGTGGATCATTTTCACGTATGTAAGATCATCGATTGTTTCCGCTGCGCAAGATGTAGGTCTAGCCATCTTTTTTGGGACAGACAGGGTCAACCTATGTCGTTTGCAGGTTTGCGTGTACTCAAGTCACGGAGGGATCGAAATATAGGTCTGTTCGTCCCTCGCATGACCGAATTCGCGTCGCTCCCAGTTTGTTGTGTCACCACGTACAAAAGCCGACACAACAAAATCACCACAGTCTGCAAGGCAACGCTGTTAGGGACTGTGCCGCTCTTTATTGAGATATGCCGCTCAATTTTAACGTCACCTCTCGCACGAACACGGAAAAAGAAAGGAAACGCGGCAGTCTTTTCCCATGATATCCAAGGCGATGCTGCTACGCGCTGTCACCAAGCTGTGTCGCTCTCTACTGTAAAGCTCCGCCGCTCTCAGCCTTTGTCACTCTCGCTCCTCCCCCGTGTTTTGCATCCTGCATCCAACAGCATTCGCGCCCTGAAGAAAATGGCTGAAGTCGTCGGATTCGTATCCACCATCACAAGCCTCGTCGCCCTCGCCATTCAGATTACCAAGATCAGTCATGGCTATCTGTCCGACGTACGCGATGCCAAGCGCACGCGCGGCCAGTACCTCACCGAGCTCACCGTTTTCACCGACACGCTGCTGCACGCAGAGAAGGCCACCGTTGATGCAGAGCGTCTCGGCCTGCTTACAGCCCGACCCGCCAGCCTGTCCGCCGACGTCCTGGAGGACTGCCGCAATCAGTTGCTTCTGTTGCGTCAGACCCTCGAGGCTCGTGCAGCTGGGGGTCGCGGCGGCCTCACCCGCCTCAAATCGGCACTCATCTGGCCGCTCGAGGAAAAGCAGATGAAAAAGCACATCGACCTGCTGCACCGCTTCCGCAGCATCTTCGCTGACTATGTGTCGGCTAACACCCTGTAAGCGAAGTTGTTTGTGGTTTCTGGATAGCTTTGGATTTTTTTCCCCCTTACAGGATACTCTCTGAAGCCTCGTATACCAAGCTTGAGACATTCGGCCGCGGTGCTTTTCCATATCTTATTTCACCTTCATTGTGGTTTAATAGTATCTGTCTCGACAGAGAGAGATCGGAGTCAATTGATGGAGTGGCTGCAACCCCCGAGCCCTCCTCGGCATGGCCCGCCGACCGAACCCCCGTGTCCGGGCACAGGAAAGTGGTTCCTCAAGTCCGATGTTTACGTACGATGGCGCACGAGCGCGCCATCGATCCTGTGGTGCCACGGCAAACGTACGAAAGTCTGCGATAATTTCTGCATATACCATCTGACTAGGCACAGCGGGTGTTGGCAAATCAATATTGTCGTGAGTCGTGTTCTCTCGTTCAGCAATACCAATGTCAATGGCACCAGGTCCATTGTCCTTCGGGATCTCCAAGAAACTGTCGGTGTCTCTGTGTTGCATTACTTTTGCGACTTCGCTGCGGGAAAGCAGCAGACATCGACACTGATCCTCCAAAGTCTGTTGTGTCAGATGCTGCTGCATGGTAATGACGGTCATATTTCCCTTTTGAAGCGGGCCCGCGACCGCTTCGGCATGACACTCAGCTCCAAAGAACTCTCCCAAGTGCTTATTGACATGTGCAAGATGCAACAGCCGGGGCCATACATTGTGCTGGATGCGATGGACGAGCTTGAGGACAGAAAACTCCTTCTCCCATTGCTGGGCGAGCTTGTACAAATCGGGTGCCCTATTTTTGTGACGAGCAGATACATCCCAGACATCACGGAGGTCCTTGCCACATCCGAGCAAGTTGAACTCGAGGCTAACCGTGCCGATCTGAAGCTGTTCGTCGAAAGCGAACTGCAGGCAAGCGACTTTGCTCATGTCAGTGCCACCAGCGGCATTGCCGATGCGATCGTTGACCAGGCTGGGGGCATGTATGTACAGCTCAGCACTACGTAATTATCATTCATTGACGAGACTGATAGATTCCTCCTCGCGCGGCTGCTCATGAATCACCTGCTTGCATTGACAACCATAAAGGAGATCCGCCAATCCCTTGCTTCATTGCCTCCAAACCTCACCTCAGCATATCAATCCAGTCTTGACCGCATCCTGGCACAACCGGCACCACGTTCAGCACTGGCTTTCCGGCTCATAGCTTGGATCACCCATGCAGAAAGACGGTTGACAACAGCAGAGATACTGCACGCCTTTGCCGTTGAGGACAATGTGGATAAGATTGACGAGGAAATTTTCACATTGGTCCACATGCTGCTGCAAGTGTGTGTCGGGCTTGTGATTGTGGATGCTGACTCAACTGTCAGCCTTGTTCATGCCACGGCACACAAATTCTTCACAGAAATGCCCGCACAGTTTGTGAACGCTCACGATGATATGGCGAACACATGTCTTCGTTACCTCTGCTTGCAGACCCCATTTGGTGCTGGTCCCTGTGATAATGTCCTAGACATGGAGACTCGACTCCACAAGATGCCCTTCCTTGCCTATGCAGCACATTATTGGGGTCTGCATACACACCATGTCAAGCAGTCCCTCACACAACTCATACACAAGCTTCTTGATAACACCAGCCTGCGGGGGAGTTCATTCCAGGCACTACAGCACCGCAGACGCCTCGACCCTCAGCTTGCTGAAGCCTCATTTTCAGCATTACCAACAGCTCAGGGGCCACTGCATATTGTAGCCTATTGGGATCTTGGGGCGATGGCCGAGCTATACCTAGACGACAAAGACCTTTCTCCACTTGATGCACAGGGCTGGACTCCCCTTCATTGGGCATGCTTCAGAGGAAGCAGCATCGTCCGTGAGCTACTACTCCACCGTGGAGCGGA